TTTTTTTCTAAAGCGCCTTTACTAATTCTTAAAAATCATACTTCTTGAGACTATTTATTAAAGGTTCTCACAAAGATGTTTTATTGCAACATAAAGTGCATATTTTTAATGCTCAAAAATTATAAGCTAAATCAACCTTAACGTGAGTTTCGCCCGAAAAAAAAATTCGGCCGATGTTTTTTTCATCCTCCCCTAGTGAATACACGGAAGCGAAAAGTTTATTGATCTTTGGGGACTCAAACCTGCCTGGTTATCAGGTTACACTTATGGTGAATTCAGTAGCGCAATTGCAACATCCGCATTATATTTAGACATCTTTACTTCGCGAAAAATACAATGGAAATAAAGTTTGGCTAAACGGAAGGTAATGATTACTCAACCTTCTTCAAACAGATTTGTCAAACAAGTTTGTTCTGAGTACTCCGCTTTAACCACTTTTTGAAGTGAAACTTCTTTGCATTCGGTTGGGAGTAAATGCAACCATCGATGTAACAACGAAAAAGCGACAAAAGAAGGTAGGGAATGGCGAGGTGTCAAATTAAAGGTCTTGGCCTAGGTAATTGAAATATGTATGTAACACGATTTGCATAGTAAAAACAAAGCAAAAAAAATCAATTCAAAAAATTTCGTACAAAAATTAAACAAACTTTAACAATTACACCCAAAACTTGTAAACATTTTATTCAGAATTTTCAGAAAAGTTCTAGTTATGCAGTTTTATAGCCAATTAAATTTATTATTTACATTTATTTAATCAGTTAAATTAATTATTGGAATTATTTAATGTGCATAAAAAATGTTGAAATATGTATCTCAATATAGGAGCCTTAAGAAGGTTTTAGTTTGAAAATATTTTTAAAAGGGTTGCCACCTGTTTGAAAAGTCCATTTTAATTATGAAATGTTATGAAATATGTTTTATAAAATATTAAAATATGGGTGGCAAACGAAAGAGTGGTAAGAAATCTTTAATTTGAACATTTCGGACATTGTCGAGGCATTTGAAGAGGGTTGGCCCCTGTTTAAAAAGTTAAATACAAAATATTTATTCAGTTAAACTAATTATTAAACACTTTACGTTTAAACTATATTTTAGAGGGTTGCCACGTATCTGAAAAATCAAATTCGACTTAATTATTTACTTACATAAATATTTTAATGTCACAAGAAAAAGATTTCAATTTTGAAAATGCTTTTGAAAATGGCTGCCACCAATTTGAAATGTCGAATTTAGTCAACTTATACGCAAGATATGAAAAATAATCTGCCTTATCCTGAGTTTCTCCTGAAAAAAAATTCACCCGAAAATTTGACATCCGCCCATAGTAAAACCATGGAAACCAAAAGTGAAAAGTGAACCGGTTCGGGGAAAATGAATCTCATGATAAGGCTGAATATATTTAAAGCTGAGTGCCACACGAAAGAGTGTTTGAAAATACTATTGATTAGGGTTGCCACCTATTCGAAAAGCCATATCTATCCATGTAAATATGTATATAATACGCGATGTCGTTTTTTATGCAGGTCATTAGACCTGCACCATTCTTTCGAATTTTAAAAATGTGTTGTCAAATTAAAGAGATGTGAAGTATCGTTTTAGTTTTTGAAGTTAGAAATTTTTTACAGGGTGATTTAAAATTAGAGAAACCGACCCATGCGAGATTTCTCTCCACTAAGACACAGCTGGACGGACTTAAATGAAGTATGGGATACTGGGGTACCAAAGCAGGGCCGTATATGCAGTGAGAGGCACCCCACAGGGAGGAGTGCTATCACCGTTACTATGGCTCATGGTCTTAAACAAACTACTGGTAAAGCTGGACTCTCAGAGAATCAAAGCGGTGGCTTACGCCGATGATGTAGCGATACTGGTATCGGGTCAGTTTCCTTCGGTCATAAGTGAAATTATGGAAAGGACTTTAAAGATAGTAGATTCCTGGGCCATAAGCTGTTCTCTTAGCGTAAACCCGGAGAAAACTGGGCTTATGCTTTTCACAAATAAAACAAAATTACCAAATTTTAATAAACCAAGGTTCCGAGGAACGGAACTGGATCTGTCAATGAAGGTGAAATACCTTGGAGTTATTTTGGATCCCAAACTTAACTGGAAACCAAACATTGAGGAGCGTGCTAGGAAGGCCACGGTGGCTCTCTATGCGGCCAAGAGAATGTTGGGCAACAGATGGGGTTTGAAACCAAGAATTGTGCACTGGATGTACACAGCTATAGTCCGACCCATAATCTCTTATGGGTCTGGTGGCCAGCCCTTACTAAGGATTACGTAGTTAAAAAGCTAGGCGGAATTCAAAGGTCAGCAGCCGCTAGCGTAACAGGCACAATGAGATCCTGTCCGAAGGACGTTTTGAACGTCCTTCTTGACTTATTACCTATAGATATCTTCATCGGGAATTCAGCTGCTAACAGCGCCATCAGTTGCGTGCCTTGGGGCTCTGGAAGGAAAGACCGTTCGGGCACGGCTCCATCCTAGACGCAATACCGTCTGAAATTAAAGCGCTGCCCACTGACTATATCCTGTCGAAGACCTGGGTTCACCACAAACCCCGCACGAAATTCCCAAGCCGCAGTGACTGGAATCAGGAAGATTTCGGGTACTTGCAGGGCTTAACTGTCTTTACGGATGGGTCAAAGATGGAATGCGGGGTTGGTGCTGGGGTCTTCATTGAGCACTATAACCTAAAATTATCCTTCCGCCTACCAGACTATGCAAGCGTCTTCCAGGCCGAAACGTTTGCTATTAAGGAGGCAATAAGGTACATCAAAGACAATGTACCCGCGAGAACGCAAGTGAACATCCTCTCGGATAGCCAAGCGGCTATTCAGGCACTTTCCTCTAACTCTGTTAGATCTCAGCTAGTGGATGAACGTAGGAGAGAGCTGGCCTATATCTCTGATCAATACGAAATTACCCTAATATGGGTCCCGGGACATAGGGGCATCTACGGAAACGAGGCAGCGGACGAACTAGCAAGAAGCGGCTCCGCACTGGATATGTCCTACGCGGTGGACATGGGCGCCTCGCTCAGGGAGATTAAGACAAAAATTACCGAATTTTATCATTCGAAGGCCAGGCAGAGGTGGAACTGCACAGGATCCTACAGAATTGCCCGGCAGTTCTGGGTGTCCTACGACCCACTCAAAACCAAAGCTCTCTTAGGAATAAGCAAAACAAATGCCTACAAACTTACTGCAGTGTGCACAGGGTACTGGCCCGTTGGGGTACATGCCGAAAGGATAGGACTGCCCTTCAATAGGTTCTCTCGCAGCTGCGATGACCCGGGCTCAAAAGAGACAGTCGAACACTTGCTGTGCGAGTGTCCAGCCCTCGCAAGGATGAGGCTAAATACACTCGGAAAACCATTCCTGCAGAATATTTCAGAGTACAGCTGCCTCTCTCTGTATGACGTACTGAAATTTATTAAAGCCGCCAAATGGCTATAGGTTGCACGAGTTGTGGAATCAAAATGGCAAACTTGCTAATTGCTTGTCACCTGAGTGACAATCCACTTAAACCAACCAACCAACCATGGCACACGGATAAGCGGTAACTGTGACAAACATTTGGAATTTTTTTTTAGATTTGAGGAAGGTTGCCACCTGTTTAATATGCCAAATTAAATTTTGGCGTTTTAACACTACCCGGGCTCACTAGTTATAAAGAAATACGGGTCATAGAGAGAGAAGAAGCTTTACACACCTTTTTTCGTAAATGTATTTCCGAGATATACATTCATATATGTACATACAAATATGTGTGTATATATAAAGCCCGACTTGTGCTATGCTTATGTGTATGCGTCTCACAATTATTTGTTTGTTTCATCTATTTCGTTGGTGTTTGCTTGGAAAGCAGATTCGTACCTTTTATCTGTATAAAAAAAAAAAACAACCACATTCAGAGCATAACAAAGTAAATGACGTCATTGAGATCAGCATAAACAAGTTTTCATACATCCAAAAGTTTCCAATAGCCTAAGCAACAAAAAATAATAGAGATGATTAATGTTTAATAGCCGGTGTAATGAAAACTACCTACAAAACACGTAGTTGGACGACAATGAAAGAGAATGGGAGCGCTAGCGAGACCCGCCTTTTATTGGAAGTAATTTATATATTTAAAACTGAGCGTTTGCGCCACATAGAAAGCCGGCAGCTAGTTGTTGTTATATTAGAGAGCCTTTACGACATTTGCTCTTTTGGGCCACATTTTACGCTCCCCAATACGTTGATCACCCATTCCTTGTGCGCTTGCAATGGTCGCAGGAATAAAAGTAATTGCAATTGAGTGGCGCATTTCAGTCTACGTTGAGGCGTTGAAGCAGTGAGTGTACACATTTGGCAGTGATACAATAAATACATACTATACATACATACATACAATCGCTTGTGGTAAATAGAAAATTTGTTAAAAATAGTTTAGTTTTCAACTTTCACTTAGTGTGAGTTGTTTGTTTTATATATGTATGTACATATCTATTTTTTTTTTTTTTAATTATGTGTGTGTGTGGCATGCGGGTAGAAGTATACCAAAATTATCTGCTGGGAGGAGAAAGTGTAACTAGTATAAAAGTGAATAATTTATCTAGAATTTTATGTTAAACAAATGCCATACTTAGAAAATGTTTTAATGATTTTTCTTTAGTAAATATTTAGTTTGAAATTTGTTCAAAGTGTGGGAAACACTTTGGGTAAAAAAATATAGTTTTTTATTGAAATTATGTTCTCTTCTTGGAATTATGTTCAAATCAAACGCTCTAACAGTAGCTGATGACATCATCGTTCAAACTCACAACCATCATCTTCGTCGCCAGCATTAACAACAACAAAATATAGAAAATATATAACCCAAAAAGACACGATAAATGTTAAACAAATAAAAATTAACAATAAAAAAATAACTACGCACGCGTTAAAACAGACGCTGTGACTAAGGCGACATTTTATATACATACATATGTATATCTAAATATTTATTAATAAGTACATATGTACGTACAGCTATGTAAAATCACGAATACGAATATGTAAGGTTTTTGTCTAGTAGCAATTGTCAACAAGACAATGCACATTACTTACATACATATAAACAGATTGTGGAAAATAGCAACACAATAAAGTCATGGATAGTAAATATGTATGTAACAAGTAAGAAAGTCTAAGTTCGGGCGGAGCCGAACATTAAATACCCGGCGCAAGTATTAAATATATGTTTTCCACCTTTCCGAAAGCTACCGCTACATGATAAGCGGGTGTATAAATATTAAGTAAACTAGCATCCTTAAATTTCGAAATATTGAAATTTCAAGCATTTCTGAAATTTACCGTTATATGAAAAGCGGCCGTAATTTTAGTCCGATTTCAATAATTTTCAACGGTTTGCTTTTATGTGGCAAGCACAATAGTCATACCGAGTTTGGTACAAATTGCTAGAACTGTTACCGATATACATAAATGTGATCATAATTGGGCGGTGCCACGCCCATTTTCCAAAATTTTATCATAAGCGTATTTCCTGATAAAGAATTGTTGTAACCGTCAATTTTGAATAAATTAGCTTTAATATTTACTGATTTATCGAGGATTTCGTATTTCTCGAAATTACCGTTATATGGGATGTGGGCGTGGTTATTGTCCGATTTTAAAAATTTTCGGCCATTTGGTATGCTGTACCAAGGTCAACAACTGTGCCAAGTTTGGAAGAAATTGGTGCAGCGGTTTCCAAAATATACACATGTAACTATAAGTGGGCGTGGCTACGCCCATTTTTCAAAAATTTTTAATATTCTTATTTCTCGTCTAAAAGTTATTCTAAATGTCAATTTTGAGTGAATTATCTTCAGTAGTTACTAAAATATCGCAGTTTTCGTATTTCTGAAAATTACCGTTATATGGGAGGTAGGCGTGGTTATTGTCCGATTTCGCCCATTTTCAATACCATCCGTCCCACGCCCAATAGAAGTGTATATACGAAGTTTCGTTAAGATATCTCAATTTTTACTCGAGTTATCGTGTGCACAGACGGACGGACGGACGGACGGACGGACGGACGGACGGACGGACGGACGGACGGACGGACGGACAGACAGTCACCGCTTAATCGATTTCTCTTTTCATTCTGATCATTTATGTATACATTTGTCTATATCTATCTCGATTCGTTTTGCCTGTTACAAACAACCGTTATGTGAACAAAGTTATAATACCCTTGTGCACAAGTGCGCTCGGGTATAAAAATGTACACCACTTTATATCTGTTAATGTATGCGCATATATATAAAAAACTGGAATGATAGCTAGCTTTAATAGAGCGGCATCTGTTCAAGATCATTTTGCGAAACAAAATCTACTCGCTATAATTTAGTGTATATGTACTACATAGAATGTAGCTATATTGCACGAATGATCTTCGACAAGTATTATATAGGCGTATATAATTTAGTACATACATGCATATATGTATATATGTACAAGTATATGTATACTTTCTGGTATATGCATACATATATATATGCAATTCATTTGCATATACATACATACATATGTACGTATAAATACAAAGGCATGTCAATAAACCGCGATAAAATATTAAGCTCGGAACACTTTGACGACTGCAACTTCACGACGTAACGACAGCGACATCATTTTGTCGACAAATGTCGCCTTGAAGCCAGCTTCTTAAACATTTTGAAGACCTCAGCGACATAGCAAACAACTGATTTTAAAGTTTGACATTTTGGTATATTTATTTCACAAATTGTGTATTTTTATTTAAGTAAATAAGAAAAACATGAACAATCAAGAATATGTGATTAATTTTGCGACAATTTAATTTTGCAGCACTACATCTACTCATTGTCGCCGGCAAAATTAGAAATAGATTTAATTTGGCGACGTCGACAATTGCAGTCCTGCAGCCAAGATGTCGTGCTGTCGTCAAAATAATTGTGTCCGTAAGAACGTGTGTATTTAAAATTTGACAGATGCTGCTTGTCGCTTGCTGTCGTCAAAGTGTTCCGAGCTTGTCTGTGAAAAGAATTGCAACGGATGTGCGAAATAAAGCAGAAATTGATAGTCACAAGTTCAACAAGCCACAGCACAATATAAAAAATTTCATTTTCAGAGCGAAATGTCGGCAATTTTCAATCGAACGAGAGAAGGCGGAGAAAACTGTATGCCAAAATATAAAGCCTAGTTTATTTCCACTGGCCCAGTTAAGATTTAGCTGTTGTCGAGTGCTTGGCGGCTGTTTACACAAAATTAATTATTAAACTAATTCCACTTTAATGACGTACATATGTATGTATATATGTACATGCGTATGCACATTTATACATATATACAAATTATTTGTTTTGCAATTTCTTATTTGTTTGCGATTGCTTATACATACATTTACTATGTAGCTTAGCTTATTATGTGACTCAGTAAGCACTTTTAAAATAATATTTTTTGTGACAATCTAAATGCTGATGATTCATCTGTACAGAGAGTCAGTCATTGGCTTTCCGGCGAACTAACGCTCTCAGCCGAACGTGTTGGAATGTTAAATGCACTATATGCATCATTGCAATAAGTTAAAGGTTACTAAAAAAATATGAACACGATATAATTGATGAAAAGTATATATACATGTATGTACCCAAACGTCAAGCTTTGCCATTGAGTAGAGTTGAATTGATTTAAAGCTCAGCTCTGCATTTCCGATTTTATCAATGTATGCTCCTGGAAATAAATAAATGAGCGCCTCGCTATGAAAATCAAATGCCGAGTTAACGAAATTTACCAATCCAAAGCCAAACAGAATCGTATAGGCTTACCAGACAGATCTAAAATATCTACGACTCTTAAAACCAGGGCTCTGGTAGGAATGAGCAAGAAAAACCAGTGACCGAAAATAACACTTATTTTTTTTTTTAACAGTCAAACTTGGCCAGATATTTTTTAAGCCCGAAATAAAAGTATTTTTCTAATGATAAACAAACCGCTAATCCAAATTAAACAAATGAAAGAGAAATAGCTTTAAAACTGAAATGTGTAAACGAGGAAAGCCACCTATTTAAAAATATTTCAATAAAAAATGTTATTTTATTACCATAGAACAAACCTTGGGTTAGGTATATGAATTTCTTTTGTATTAAATTATAAAACAAAACATAAACGGAGGCGGTAACCTTCGTTCGTTGTTTCTGTTTAAAAGCTATTTCAGTCCTCTTTCTTTTGATACCAAATTTATTGAATTTGGTTTGTTTATTATTAGAAAAGGACTTTTATTTTAGACTTAAAAAATATTAGGCGAAGCCTATCTGTTAAAAAAAAAAAAATAACTGTTACTTTCGGTCCCTGAGAAAAACATTTAAAAGCTCACGGCAGTCTTCACAGAACACTGGCCTGTGGGAGTGTGCATCCCGAAAGAATCCACATACAGGGTCAGCGCGGCTGCAAGGATCCAGCTCAGACGAAATAGTTGAACACATTCTCTGCGAGTGCCTCGACCTTGCAGCAGTGAGGTTAAAGACACTTGACCACCATTCGTGCAGTATATGTATTTCAGTGTGTAGTCGGCTCTCTCTCTCTACGATATACAGAATTTCGTCAATACTACCAAGTGGCTGCGAAATTCATACAAAATAAAGAATATTATACAGTTTTACTTAGAATAAAACTCCTTAAGATGTACACTTTCGCCAAAAAGCTTTGAGTATACTTTTATTAATTTTTTACCTACAATTTTATTGCCAGCTTGCTATATATTTGTATATATAATTTTTTTAGCAGTTTAAGTCCATGCTTTCTGAAGACACCTTGGCACCTCTTTATGTGAAAATAAACATAGAATCGCAGAAATTTCTCGATACCTAATAACTGAGTTAACCTGTTCCCCGCCATATTTTAAATATTTCCATAAAACAGGCACATACATATGTATGTATACATATTTATATATTCTACCCCAAATTTAATTAGCAGAATGTCAATATGTAGTTTATACTGTGTTTGTAGACGATTTTTATACTGCTAATTGAATGTGTCAACATCTAAAGAATACCATAGACGCTTCATTCAAACGCGTTCTGAATTTGGCACAGTTGATTTAACTCCTCTGCACTGACGCCTTACTTAGTATTCTATTCAATTTTTTATTAGTTCAAAACCAACAAACTTTCGAGAGTGTTTGATGATGTTGATCGGTGTGTGACTTTTTTATTTGCTGGAACTTTCAGTTGCTTTTCTCTCAATAAATGTACATGCATACATACATACATATGTAGTATATACTATGCATAAAAATTTCCAACCACATTTACGTATGTAGGACCAGCTTATCAAATGATCAAATGCCGGCTTGCGCTTTCATTTACATTTCTTGCAAGTCTCTCTTTCGCATTTCA